TGTTCCAATTATACACTTTATGTGTAAAGACAAACAGATATTTTTCATATAGCAATGAAAAGCGTTAAACATGGACACGCACACAGGTGCCGTTCTGTATTAAAGCTTTAATCAGGATAAAACCATATAATAAAAGCTAACATAAATAGTTGCATTTACAAATGACAGTGTATCTAAAAGTTTGAGACAACAACAAACAAAAAACATACCATTAAGAACTGTGCTTGCACAGGTTCTGCACGATCATCTTCACTAATATCCTCTGCTTCTCAATCGGGCTCAAATTGACAAGCAATATTGACGATGCCATTGTTTACAACACAACCGGAGCACATTCTGAGCTGAGGGGGGGACGTTTAGACGCACACCTAGCAGTTTAGCCAATCACAACACACTGGGCCAGCTGACCAATCTGAGCCCATTTCTGAGGGAGGGGCATTGCAAATGATACCTAATGTATCAATTAATAAGACTAAATTTGAATACTTGCACGTCTCATCTGTCTGAAAGAGAGGTTTGATGCAATCTGAAGGTCCCAGTTGATCTTTGCGGAAGTTGGTTGATGAAAAAGAACCAGTTTGAGTCAGAAAATATTGGTGAATGGAAAAGTTTGATTCCCCTGCTACTCGGAGAGGACAGTACCCATGCCTGTTGTAGAAGCATCAACATAGACAATTAATTGATATCTGGATCATGGCTTAAGCAGAGAAGTGGACGTGAAGGCTCCTTCAGTCGTTGAATGGCGTGGGTGGCCTCGGGTGACCAGGACAGAGATCTGGGCATTTTCTTTAGGAGTGATGTTAAAGGAGCTGTGATCTGACTGTAGTTCTAAATGAATCAATGGTTCAAGTTTGTAAATTGGAGAAAGTGTTGGAAAGTGTTTTTTTAATTGTAGATGGTTCTGGCCATGACTTAAGCATTATTCAACCATGGTTGAATGCTTCAACCATATCTTCATACATCTTGATACTATCGGTACTGATGACATATTCTAGAAACTGATAGAATGAACACTTTTCAGCTTTGAGATATACAGAACTGTGCAAAAGTCTTAGGCCATTGGTATTTTCACGATCAAAAATGGTTTTAAGCCAGTTATTTCTATATTTTGCTGTAGTGTGTCAGTAGAAAAGATCAGTTTACATTTCCAAACATTAATTTTGCCATGAAATGTAATCCAGTGAGATTTTTGTATGCACAAGAAGTCTGTCAACAGCCAATATGCTCCACACAGAGATCTGATCTCACCATCATTGAATCAGACTAAATCCAAAACTGTGACAACATCTCCAAGACACATGAAGAAACCTGCCTACAAACTACCTCAAAAAATATGAAAAAAAGCTGTTTTAAATGCAAAGGGTGGTCACAACAAATGTTTTTTTGATTTAGTTCAGTGGTTTATAATCCTAGTCGTGGGGACCAACCGCTCTGCACATTTTGCATGTCTCCCTTTTTTGACACACCTAATTCAGATCATCAGCTCATTAGGAGACTCCATGAACTGAACTGAATGTCTCAAGTAAGGGATACAGACTTGATGGTGGTGAGATCAGTTCTGTAAATTAAACTGATATTTATTACTGACACACTACAGCAAAATATAGAAAAAAAGTTTAAAACCATTTTTGGTGAAAATACTAATGGCCTAGGCACAGTATGGTAGATAGTGTTTTCTCAGCTTGACCAGGACGAGCTCCTTCAAGTGGCGAAGTTCTGGCTCATTCTGGGAGTACACCAAGATGTCATCGACGTAAACTATGATAAGGCACTAAAGCTACTCCCGGAACACCTCGTTCCTGAACCCTTGAAACACAGAGGGGGTGCTGACCAGATCATACAGCATCACTGTGTTCATAGTGGCCAGTAGGTGTCATGAAGGGGGTCTTCCACTTGTCCTCACTCTGGATCCAAATCAGGTTGCAAGCACTGTGCAGGTTAAGTGTGATGAATATTGTCACTCTATGTAATAGTTCCAAGGTAGCCAGAACAAAGAGAAGTGGATAATGATATTTGACTGTAATTTTGTTCAGTGACCAGTAATCAGTGCAAGGCCTCAAGCCTCCATCCTTTTTGGCCACAAAGGATGGATTAGACTGGACCAATGCAATACTTGATGGTGCCTCTACCTAGTGCTTTTCCAGGTATGGGAAATTGGATTGTATATGTGGATGTACAGACTTCTTTTCTGTGCTTGAGTTGATGGCAGCATTCCCAAGATGATGTTTCCAGTTGACCTAGAGTTGAGGAGTGTATTAACTGTAAGAGACACATCAGAGGCAGTAAAAATCAGAGTGGAAGTTAATGGTTTGACACCTAACTCACCATGGGACGAGGAAGGAGGATGGGACATGCTGACCTCACTTGTCCCTCAACATTGCATTACAGACATAAATGCTGGGCCAGCTGGCAGAGACATTCAGAAGGGATAGGAGAAAGGCATCAAATTACATGGCCTCTACTGCTGGATCTGGAGGAGCTGATGAAGTTACAGACACAGCACCATAGTGAAACCTTGATGATGGTAACCCTGGCTCATTCCATCCACTAGAAGCGTTGAGGTGAGAAATCTTTGCCTTGGCATAACCTGAATAGCTGTTCACTCACAGATATATCACCAGCTGGATGGTTCCAAATGATCTCTTCCCATTGGAGAGCTCTTCCAATTAGTAAGGAAATAATCAAAGACATCTTAGCCCTCTCAGTGTGGAATCGCTGCAGCTGCATCTCGAGGGGCAAGTGAGCAGTGGAGAAGAAAGACCTTGCAGCCCCCTCTGGAGCGAGAGTAGAGAACTGGATTGGTCATAGTGTACACCGGTGACAAAGAAGGGCCAGGAAGAGTGACTGTGGTTATAGGTGTCTGGGTAGAAACACAAGAGGTGAGGTGAGAGTATGTTGTAATACATCAACAAGTTCCTTCAATGGATAATTTGGGTTGGTTCCTGCCAGGTTAATCTTTTAGGTCTGGCCTTCTATCACAATATGGCACAGACTCAAAGATGATAACACAGAATGTGAAAAAAATGGTGGTAAGTTTATTGAAAGTGGCATGAACATAACTTAACAGGTGAGTATAACTTTATAGTGTGCAGTGACTGTGGTGACTTGAATAATGGTGCTAGGATTTGTCTTACTGGATTTTGGGAACACATTGGAGGACAGATGAGACGAAAAGAAGACCTTGAAGACCCTGAGATGATATTCAATCAATTTAGAGTTGACTTAGAAGACTTAGAGAAGACTTGGATTACTGGATGATGACTTTGGACTGACTTGGAACAGAAATTAGGAAGAGGATACCGGTAGTTTTTCCAAGGTAAGTATCCAGGTAAGAAAGCCTGTATTTTTCTAGATGAGGTCATACAACCTTTGATGGTGTGTGTGTGTGTGTGTGTGTGTGTGTGTGTGTGTGTGTGTGTGTGCTTTATAGTGCTGGTGATGAGTGCTGATGAGTGACAGGCATGTGTAGTTAGTACCCTGGTGCTTATGATGGCTGGGTAAGAAAAGGAGAGTCTGGCATGACTGTGAGGTTTCTGTCCCTCCATTAAAATTCCAGGTAACCAAAACTTTGAGGATCCAGAAAGGTACTAAAGGTGTCATAAAACAAATCCATATGAACCAAGCAGTTTAATCCAAGTCTTGTGTAAAAGATACAATCTCTTTATATTATAAACTTGTGGTTACCTAGACAATGCAGAAATATTTCAGATTTCATTAAAATATCCTAATTTGTGTTTGAAGATTAACCACAGTCTTATGAGTTTAGAACAACTTGAGTGTGAGATACAATGGCAGAATTAAATTTTTTTTGGTGAACTAACCCTTTATAACTGGAGTGAGCTGAATGATTGAGTTGTTGACAGGCTTTTGTGCTTTTAAAAAATGTGAGACAGTGCCGTGAAATAGAAAAGTCTCAATGTATTATTTTTTTCTAGTATGGTGATGTATATTTGCTATAGAAATATATTATTTCATCACATACCATACCAAAAGCATGACAATTTTTGTACATCTGTTGACTTTTTGTCATTTGTCAAGGCCAAATGTTTGCTATGAAGACATTAAATCAATTAGAGTTTTGCAGGTTTTGTGCATATCTACTAGCTTTAAGGTAATCTATATGCTAGTTAACTTTTAAACATTGACCAAAAAAATAATAAAAAAATCAGAAGCAGATTTAAATTTGCAGTTTCTCTCTATGTACTAAACAGATACAAGCAAAACCGATACTCACTCCGCTCCAACGGCTCTCAGCACCGCCCCACTCATCATAAATGTAATTGCTCAGCTCAAAAAATGTTAACATGTTACTGCGTTACACATAATACTACTACTACTACTACTAAAAATAAACAATTTGCTTGTTCAATGAAGCAATGCTTTTATCCAAAATATTAGATAATAGGTGAGCAAGAGCCAACAATATCCATAATGTACAATGTCACTATGCATAATGTACTATGCTTTATTAGAATGCAAGCTAGAAACAAGCTAGAGAAATGAAAAAGTATGTGCAGTGTGTCTTCTGATGCAGATCGGGTGGAGGTTGATGAGCAAAATGTTTGATGACCAGATAAGCTTTACCACTCTCATTTCAACAATGGCCAGGTTTTGCAGGTTTGCACTGTACAACATCAAGAAATCAGACTATTCTTTTATGTGACTCGTCCAAGTCAATACAAGGACAAGACTCAATAACCAAGACAGAAAAAACAGGGGTATATAATGGCTGACACAAATGAGCAAACAAGACACACCTGGAATCAATGATAGGGTAATCAACAGAAAAACTACAACTAGACTACAAATATACAGGAACTGAATAGACAAAATACATGACCCTAAACAAAAAACAGACCAAAACCATAACAGGCAAGTGTACATCCAATGTACACTCTTAATCATTGTGGGTATGAATGAGTGAACAAATGTAAGGATGCAATTTTATAAATGTAATTACAATTTTTAATTTAAATTCAATTAAAAATTTTTTAATTCAGACACCACTACAAAGTTAGGACACTGTGTGAAAAATTAAGTGTAAAAACAAATTAAGTGTATTGCATTAGCTATTACTGCTAATTGCCATGTTGCCATGAACTAATTTATTGTAACCTCTTATTAAGTAATATGTATGTGTGTTCAGTTTAATGAGACGGGCCGAGGCAGTGTGTGCAGTCAAGCCATCATGTTGGTGACGGATGGAGCTGTGGACACATATGACGCTGTCTTTGCCCAGTACAACTGGCCTGATAGAAAGGTAAGAAGAGTTTCTGTATTCCCAGTTTGCGCAGTCAAGTGCAGAATAATTTTACAGACTGGAATGCTTTAAATGTAGTTACAATTATTGTCTCACAGAGTTTTTATAAATTTTCTCACATAAAGAATGCCAGATTTTATCAGAGATTGCTGTTCCTGTTTTTTTACCAATCAGTGGTTAGAGATATATTAAAATAATAATATTCAGTTCAGGAGACACTCCAAATATGAGTTAATACTAATACACTCCTTCATCCATCCCTGAATAGGGAAGGGTGGGATGGAAAAAAGATGGGATGTCAAACTCTAAATAATTTTCAAAGGGTAAAAATAAATAAATAAATACATTCATAAATATATAAAATAAAACACATTTTAATTCCTTCTGAGACAACAGAGGCCTGTTGCACAAAGCTGGTTTGGGTTTTTGCCCAGGTAAGTTTGCTTTTAGTTTGAGCAAACTCTTGAGTTTTTGAGCTCATTAAGGTGGGTTGGTTTTGAACGTGTTTCATCACCATGGTAATTTACGCTACACAGCTACCCTGCTCTGGAGCAGGTTTTATTCTGGTTTCTATTCTCCAAACTGGACCAATCAGCTGTGAGCAAAGTGACATATATCTGATGCAATGAAGCCACTCCCCCATATCTTTAGCTCCAAATTAAAGCAGCTTACAGTCAAAGAATTTTAGAGACAAAATTGCTTGACCTTTGCTGCTACTTATTTATTTATTATATTTATAGTATAGCAATTATATATGTTTATAATTCAGTGTCAGGGTTCTGTCACTTCGGACTAGCTTATTCATGGTTTTGTGACAGAGCCCCCGTCACTCCCGTAATGTTGTTATTTTCATGTGAGCATACGGCTTCGAGTGTGCTTGAGCCATGCGCTCTCGTCTGCATGTCCTGTTTCATGTTGGAGTGTGGTGTTCGGATCACGGCACTCATGTCTTGTTGAGTTTCGGTTTCGTGTCGGGGTTCGGATTCTCGTGCTCTATGTTTTGTCTTGTTGTGGGAGCGGGCAGTCTCGAATTCGCTCAGGCCGTGCGCTCTTCTGTCCGCATTTATTGCGTTGTTTTGTGCGGTTCGTTTTCGGCCGCGTGCTTTACGGTTGTCTTGTGTTGTTGCACGCAGTTTATGTTTTTATCGGCTGCCTGCATTCATGTTATGTCTTGTGCTGTGTTGCACGCAGCTTGTGTTTTTCATTGGCTGTGTGCTTTCATGTTGTCATGTCTTGTGGGAACACATGGCTTATGAGTATTCTCATTAGTTGCGTGTTCGGGTCTTGCTTTGCACATGGCTGGTGATTGTGTTTTGCTGGCCATTTGCTTTTGTCTTTGTTTTCTGTGTGCCATGTGTTCTCATGTCAATTGTCTTGACCCCATCCATCTTGTTACCTGATCATTGGTTCATTTGCCCCACCTGTCCTCCCTCGTTACCTTCCTCATTTGCACCCTATTTATTCTCCTTGTGTTTGCAGTCCTGTGCCAGTTCGTCATCGTATTAACCCTGGTTGTGCCCTGCCCTGCCTTGTCCTGTCCAGCCTTTCCAAGCCTTGTTGCCTGCTTGTTTTTCCCCCATGGGGTAGTTTTTGTTGTTGTTTTTGTTTTATTTTATTAATAAATGCCCACCTTCTGCACAACTGACTCCTCGTCTGATCCCTCTACCCAAACCCTGACATTCATATAATTATTATATGAAGTGGCCGTTAATTTTAAGCTTTGCATTTAAATTAAATGATATATATATATATATATATATATATATATAAATTTCAGCCTTTTGTCAAATAGATATATTAATATTTAAGTTTATATTAATATTTAAAGCAATAATAAATACATTTTAATGTCACATAGATGGCTTAGCTGAGTGATGATACAAACAAACTGTTTAATCAGTATTACGGTCGCTTTGGGCATGACTGACAGTGCTAAAAGTTCAGTGTTGGTCTCCTTGAGAGTGGCTTGACAGACAGACAGTTCAAAGTTGGGGGCATTGGCAAAAAACTGAATGGGTTGACCGTTCACAATTAGATTCAAGAGCGGACCTAAGACAGGCAAACTGTTCAAAACCGTATGTATTAACTGAAAAATGGACTGGTAGACATTTCATACAGAAAGTTCAGATATATTACTCAAGATTGGGCAGACAGATAATTCAAAGTCTGACTGAAACTGAACAGGAAGACGGTTCATAAACAGGCTTACAGATTAGGACTGTCAAGGCAGACAGTTCAGCAGACACATTTGGGGAAACAGAACAGGCAGACAGTTCATGAATGGTCTCTAGAGCAGTGACGGGGTTAACGAGACATACATGGAGTGCATTTATCGGCAGACCAGAGTGATCAGGAACCCATGGCAGGGACTGGGGCCTAGGGAAAACTGTAACACAGGAGACAGACAGTGCCTTTACGTTCTCAAGGACTGAGGCAGGAAATACAGTGGCCTTATTAACGGTCGCTTTGGGCATGACTGACAGTGCCATTCCTGTCATCCTTTCACTGTATGTAATCCTACCTTGTTTAGTATTTATGAATTCGCCTTCATATGATCGAAACGCACGTGCCAGGCTTCGGCCTTGTCCTTTCCATTCATCAAGGTCCTCTGACTCAAAACTGGTTCTTTTCATTGACCAACTTCAGCAAAGATCAACTGGAAACTTCAGATTACATCAAACCTCTCTTTCAGACAGATGAGACATGCAAGTATCAAACAGTTAATCATGCAGATTTATGCTACAAGCTTTTGTAGAATTGTACAGTAAGAAAGTTATTTCCTTTAACCAGGAAATTAACGTTCTTAGAATTGACAAGACAGTTGACCCTGAGAGGTCAGCTAAATATCTACAGCGGATCTAAAATATTCATAATTAATTATAACTAGTTATGATTAACTATTCATATTTCCCATGAGCTGATTCGTTACAGTTCATTAGTATTCTCCTTAACCGGACATATACAAAGTTCAGCAATGGTTCCTTCGACCGCGACATGATGGGCTGAAAGTGTATTGCTGGGCGCCACCACTACGCAAGGAGCAGAAGCGAGGACTGCCGCCTCGGGAGGTTCTGAAGCATACGCCGCTACCTCTGGAGAAACTGCAGCAGACACCATCGCTTCGGGGAACACAGCAGTGAGTGCCACTATCTCAGGAGGTTCTGCAGCATCAGCCGCCACCTCTGGAGACACCATAGTGAACACCACCACCTTGGGAGGTTCAGTGGTGGTGTATGCAGCCCAAACACACCAAAAAGCAATCCCCATCATGGGAAGCGCTTCAGACAGGGGAATCAGTTCATGAAAAGGAGGACTAGAGTGAGTGGGTTTGGGGATACCAGCTGCACGTGCAGACACCAGCGATGCCCTCACAATGGATACCAGACTGGGATACCGAAGGACTGACCTTGATAATCTGGGTGCAACAGACAGGAAGTGACGTGACTCTGGATGATCAGCTGTGATGTAACTCTGGAAGATCAGCTCTGATGTGACGAGACTCTGGGAGATCAGCTGAGACGTGACGAGGCTCTGGCAGATCAGCTGAGACGTGACGAGGCTCTGGAAGATCAGCTGAGACGTGACTGGACTCATGGCGAGCAGCTGTGACTTGTCTTGACTCATGAAGATCAACCGTGACTTGACTTGACCCATGACGATCAACTGTGACTTGACTCATGAAGATCAACTGTGAATTGACTGGACTCAGGAAGATCAACTGTGACTTGACTTGACTCATGAAGATCAAATGTGACGACTGGACTCAGGAAGATCAACTGTGACTTGACTTGACTCATGACGATCATCTGTGACTTGACTCATGAAGATCAACTGTGACTTAACTGGACTCAGGACTCTGTTGTGTTCGCCATTTTGCAATTAGGCTCCATTGTCGTCGCCATTTTGTGAGCGTGCTCTAGTGCGGCCGCCATTACACGAGTGAGTGCGGGGTCACGTTCCTCTGCGATACCCACAGTCAACGCTGAACCAACAGACAACAGAGCATAATCCACAAAATCACTTAGAGAAGAACGGGGACCCTCACGGATTAATCGTGTCTTTAAAGGTTCATTGATACCCTAACAAAAAAAGTCTATGAGCACACAGTCCGGTAGATCAGAAAAAATGCAAGTTCTAAATACTCTTGTACATAATCCTCGAGTGATCGCAAGCCCTGCTCTAGAGTTAACAACAGTCTTGCAATGTCCATACCTGGCCAATGTCCACATGAAAAGCTGCTGGATCCTTGTGTGGCCGAATATTCTGCTACGGGGATCCATCTGTAAAGCTTTTATTTAATAGGCACGGTCATAAACCAGGCAAGGTTCTGACAATGGCAAAAAAAAGACAAAAAAAGACAAAAGAGTAATCCAAAACGTGCACGAGTCAGTTGACAGCGAACGTTATCCAGAGGGCTTGACAGGAGGGGGAATCCAATAACACGAGCAATAGTCCAGGCGAGGTGCAAACACCTCGAAACAGAAAGGCAAAGGGTTAATCCAAGATAAGCAGGCAAGAATCAGGTAACACGGGAAAGCAGGCAAGACAAGACTAGGACTAGGAACTAAGGACTAGAAACTAGGGCAGAAAACTGGCTCCGTAATGTGCTACCACTTGGAGAGCGATATACGCAAAGAATACTCGGCAGTGAGAGGGAGGATGTCCATGGCTTATGTAGGGTGTGTGATTGGCTGCAGCCGTGTGTGTAATCAGTGCAATGGATGATGGGAAATGTAGTCCGGGATGACATGCAACAGTTTGTGTAGTGTGAGAGTCAATCTAATGGAAAGGGTGACCTCTGGTGGCAATCGGATGGAAGTCCAGTGCGTTGTGATTGGCCGAATACCTCAAGTGTGTGACAGAAATGTTACGCCCCTTGCCATATTGTGATGCCTTGTCCGGCCGGAGCAACGAGACAAAAATATTAAAACCCCATATATAAGAGGGGTTTGTTTCATCGAGTGGGGACATAATTACGGATTATAATGACTTATAAAACCATGTCTGCATTTGTGATCAGAGAAATGACAAAAAAGTGACAAAAAATTCATATAGTTAATTCATTCATATATTCATTTGTATAATTCCCTTAGAACTCTTTTAAACTTCCCAGCTTTTCAGCCCTTTTTTCACTCAAAACGAAACTACTCTGCGTGCTGTGCGCACGTGAGACTGTTACTTAAAACTGCTTTATGCTGGACAGTATTTATTTATCGTGAGTTGTTGAAATTGCGGTAATCTAATACCGTTTTAATGATAATTAAAATATGAAACGGTAATAGTAACCGTCGGGAATTTTGTCATGATTTATCGTCAAACAGTTAATCGTTACATCCCTAGTCTTAGGGTGTATTCACACCTGTCTTGTGTGGTTTGATTGAATCAAACTCAAGTTCGTTTCACCCCTTGGTGCGGATCTTTTGGGCAGGTGTGAATACAGCAATCGTACTTATGATTCACTTGCAAAAAGGGCAGTGTGATAGCGAACCGCACCAAACAAAAAAATCAACATTGTATTTGGTCCGGACCAAACCAAGTGAACTAGCGGACTTTTCTGATGTGAATACACCCTTATTTAATATTTTCTGTTCTCGTGTCAGATATGTATGTATGTATACATACATGTATGTACCAAGAGCACCTTAAAACACAACAAATTCCTTGTGTGTCTGCGCACACTTGCCGAATAAAGCTGATTCTGATTCTATCGTTACAACCATTTAAAACTCTGGCTTAATGTGGCAGTACTATGGTGCAGTGGTGGTATGAAATCATACCAAGGTACTTTGATATGTACTTTTTTGAATTATTACCATGTTGTAGAGGTACTTGTAGATGTTTTTGTGTTTTAATAGATCCTCATGATCCAGACTGAATCAGAAACTGATTCAAACCATTTTGTTAACCTGCCTGACGTATAAGAACCAACTGATGAATTAGGTATACTAAATAAACAACAGAAAAACGACTGCAGGAATACTGTGAGGAATAAATAAATGTTCCTCAGGTCAGTATTTTGTGTGCTCTTTTGGTAGACAAGAACAGTAATGTTTTAGTGGGGCTGGTGCTGGTGGCAGGACACATGAGGCAGAGTTTAAACACGTACTGAATTATGCTTGGTAAAAAAAAAAAAGCACCCCAGTGTGAGCCAATATGGTGTTCTTTTGTGCATCTCCCCCAATCACGCTTTTATTGTTCCCCACATGTATAACACTGTTAATGCTTCCCTCGCTCAGCATGTCTAATGTCTTCCGGGCTGGTCTGAATCTCCTGAAAAGCTGTTTCACACTTATTGGACGTATTGCTAATGGTTCTTTGCAGTTTACATTAAACTACTGTAATACCTTCTTTAATCCAAAATGCCATGCAATGATAATAATTGTCTGTTGAGTGCAATGACATTGGTAAACCATTGAAAATCTTTTAAAACATTGATACCATTGATTTTCATGAGCTTTGAGTTTTGATACCCTAAAGTGGGACTGTTTGAGGCAGAGAAGGTTTAAGAACCCAAATGTCAATCATTTGGAAATTATCCATATGAATTATTAATACAAACACTCACTAGCCATCACAAGTCCCTAACTGCTGAACCAAAGGAGTCTGACCCTATCCCAAATTACACTGTAAACCCTTGCAGTGTTCCTCAGAGTCCACATTTACATGATGTAATACCATTTAGACTGTTGGATACAAGTCTGCTGTGGAGCCTAAAATGACAAATGGGAAACACAAATGGCACACTTTTCAGTCTTGTGGACTTAACAGACATGGGTGTGTGGGAGCATAGTCAGCAAGACTCTAGGTGAACATTTATTCATTTTTCCTTAGATTTGTTAGATTTAGGCACAATTTGAGTCTGATAGCTCTTGAGTATTTCACAGGTTAAAGATGCTTTAACTAAAACATGGGAACAAATTAACAAACAGTGGGAATGAAACCCCCACACATGTCAGGTGTGGAGAACATTGCTGTGGGAAGAGAATAATTTTATAACTAACACATATATTAGTTGGGTTAAGAAATACATGGCAGAAAACAAGAAATTAAAAATGGTGTACACCCTGTGTTCTCCACTATTAAGGGGCAACCGCAATACTTCTTATGTGACCTCCAGTATGTCATACAGCACCTCTCTCTTCACCTCAGTATTCCTGTATGTGTGTGTGTGTGTGTGCATGTGGTTTATCTCAATGGCAGCACATAATGAGGCACAGAGAATGTGGAAGCAGCATTCATTCAATAATATGCTAAGTGATTGCGATTGGTTCTGTTATGGATCAGATCTGGTATGTTTTTCATGTGACTGATGACTTAAGGGTCTAAGTGTATGTTAGTTATAGGCTTTATTCTTGAATGGTGTTTACCAACAGAACATATTCAAACATTTCTAATGCAATGTGCACTGTAAATTTGACTTCAGATTACATCCATTATCATCATAGTTTTTTATTATTATTATTGTATCACAAAATAACTTTAATTGTTTGGTTGGCCAAACTTTTATTGAAGCTAAACAATTAAAGCGTAAACTAATTAGATGCAGTCAGGGTGCTGTGACTTATCTGCTGTTAAGGGATTGTACATTAGCTTAATCTTGAGCGATTAAACATGATTGACAGCTAACCTAAGCTTTCCTGTCTGCAGGTGCGTGTGTTCCCTTACCTGATTGGTCGGGAGTCTGCCTTTGCTGATAACCTGAAATGGATGGCCTGCGCTAATAAAGGTTAGGCTTACTCATTCTTCCTCATGCAGCTCTGTAAACATTTCCTCAGCTGATTAACGAACAGTGAAAGAATGACCTGATCTCCACATGTGTGTGTGTAGTGAAAAACGTCTAGGCTACGTATGTAACCCTCGTTCCCTAAAGGAGGGAACGGAGACGTTACGTCAGAACAGACTGACAAATGGGGTCTCGCCCGAGAGCCCAATCACCTTTGAGTGGTAATAGAACGAGCCAATGGTACGCTGAGTACCTTGGTCTGCGGAATTTGCATCGCAAGCTCCGCCCCGCTGTGTGGGTATATAAGGAGCAGCGCGAGCAACTCGCTTTCAAGTCTTCGCTGAAGAGCCGAGCCATGTGACCCAGCTGTTCAGCGGAACAGCAATTGTGGCAAAGGGACGTAACGTCTCCATTCCCTCCTTCAGGGAACGAGGGTTACATACGTAACCTAGATGTTCCCTTTCAGTCGGTCACGTTCAACGTTACATCAGAACAGACTGACGAATGTGGTCCCTTCCAAAACGTCACAATGGCTGTCTTCCAGTAACTATCCAGTGCTATTCCAGTGCTATCACTGCGTAAGTGATAGCACCCTGTCGTGAAGCCAGCACAAGCGAAGGGCTATACCTAACACCGAACACACTGGTTAGCATATTCCAGCTGGAAGTATGCTAACAGACTGCCTGCTTGTAGGAGGTCTTACAAAGCACATATCAACCTGCGTAGCAGTGATACATATGAATCTCTGAGGTATCCAGCCCGCAGGGTGGATATGTTTCAACGTCAGAGATGGCAAGGGTGGCTTGCCAAGGGAAAGACACATGCGTGGGTGGGAACTTTGGGCACGTATCCAGGCCGGGGTCTCAAGATAATGTGAGAGATGGCCGGCCCGAATTCCAGGCACGCTTTGTCAACTGAAAATATCTGCAAGTCCCCGACCCTCTTAACCGAAGCCAAAGCCGTCAGGAGCGAAGTTTTCAATGATAAGAATTTTAGCTCCACTGAAAGCAGGGGTTTGAAAGGAGCTCTCTGTAATGCGGATAAAACAACTGCGAGATCCCAAAAGGGACCTTGTTGAGGGCAAGGCGGATTGAGCCTCATGGCCCCTCTCAGGAACCTGATCATCAGGTCATGTTTCCCAAGGGATTTACCCTCAACAGGATCGTGGCGAGCCGCAATGTAGATCTTCAGGGTGGAAGGAGACAGCCTTCGTTCCAACCCTTCCTGAAGAAAGTCAAGTCTGCTTTATTGTCAATTCTTCCACATGTACAGCACATACACACAGAGAATTGAAATTGCGTTACTCTTAGACCCTTGGTGCATACAGATAACACTAACAGTAGAACATAAATACAGATAGATACAGATTAAATATAAAATACAACTATACAAATAAGTTAAAATGTAAAAAAAAATATATAAAAAAATATATAAAGCAGCAAAAGGCACATGGCAGATAGAGTGCAAACCAGTGAAGTAAACAACAGTGCAGATATAATGATTTGTAGTGCAAAAGAGCTTATTCAGACTGATTAAAGTGACAGTGTGTGTGTATTTGGGACGGGGGAGTGGGAGAGTCCGTCAGAGTTCAGTGGTGCGGGGGGCAAAAGAGGGGAGCGGGGGCAAGGTCGGGAAGGAGTTCAGCTTCCTGACAGCCTGATGGATGAAGCTGTCCTTTAGTCTGCTGGTCCTGGCCTGGAGACACCGCAGTCTCCTCCCTGATGGCAGCAGACTAAAGTTGCTGTGTGTCGGGTGGGTGGGATCACCTGCAAAGGAAAACACTGACCCGATCGGGCATTTCCAGGGGTCTTCTCGATGTGAAGAACACCAAGTGACAAAGAGGTTCCACTTCAGAGCATAGGCATGTCTGGTAGACGAGGCCCTAGCCGAAGTGATGGTAGCTACCACCTGAGGTGACAAGGTACCTAAACATTTTGTGACCCGTCCAGAACCCACACATCTAGGTTCCAAAGATCGGGACGTGGGTGCCAGAGGGTGCCCTCAGAAGAAGGTACTTCCTCAGAGGGATTGGCCAGGGAGGGGCTGTCGTGAGGAGTACAAGTTTGGAGAACCAGGTCCGGCTGGGCCAATAAGGTGCAACCATGAGGACCTGCTCATCGTCCTCCCTGATTTTTCACAACATCTGTGCAAGAAGGCTCACTGGGGGAAACACATACTTGCACAAGCCCTGCGGCCAGCTGTGTCCCAGAGCGTCCGTGCTAATGGTGCCCTTGGTCAGGGAGTAAAACAACTGGCAGTGGGAATTGTCTGGAGAGGCAAACGGGTCTACCTGAGCGTCTCCAAAGCATTTCCAAATCAGCTGAACCAACTGGGGATGGATTCTCCATTCCCCGGGGCAAGACTGCTGTCGTGAGAGCTTGTCGGCTGCACGATTGAGCCTGCCCGGGATGTGAATGGCACGAAGCGACCTCAGATGCTTCTGACTCCACAAGAGGAGATGGCAAGCGAGTTGCGACATGCGACGGGAGCGTAGACCACCCTGACGGTTGATGTACTCTACTGTCGCAGTGTTGTCCGTATGGACCAGAACGTGCTTGTCCTTCACCAGGGCCTTGAAGCGGTGCAGAGCAAGCCGTACTGCTAGCAACTCGAGGCGATTGACATGCCACTGAAGTCGGGGTCCCGTCCAGGAGCCTTACGCAGCATGTCCGTTGCACATGGCACCCCAGCCCGTGGCAGAGGCATCTGTTGACACAACAACACGCCTGGACACTGGTTCTAGGGGAGCACCAGCCTGTAGAAATTAGAGGTCCAACCACGGGGTGAAGGTTCGGCGGCAGGCCGGAGTGATGATCACTCGTAGCGTGCCCTGTTGCCATGCCCATCTCGGGACTCGACCATGAAGCCAGTGCTGAAGCGGTCTCATATGAAGCAACCCGAGGGTATGACCGCCGCTGCAGATGCCATATGCCCCAGGAGCCTCTGAAATAGTTTCATTGGAACCGCTCTCTTGCCTTTGAATTGACCGAGTCTATTTCCATACCGAGAAAAGAGATCCTCTGCACAGGGGAGAGTTTGCTCTTTTCCCAGTTGACCCAAAGACCCAGATGGGCGAGGTGTCTGAGCACCAGATCTATGTGCTCGCACAACTGTACTCGAGAGTGAGCTAGAATCAGCCAGTCATCGAGGTAGTTGAGGATACGGACACCTTGCTCCCTGAGAGGAGCCAGAGCTCCCTCCGCGACATTCGTAAAGACGCGGGGTGACAGGACCAATCCGAATGGGATAACTTTGTACTGATATGCATGCCCCTCGAAAGCAAACCGAAGAAACGGTCTGTGTTGAGGAAGAATGGAGACATGAAACTACGCATCCTTCAGGTCGATCGCTACAAACCAATCCATGGGATGAATGCATTCGAAAATGCGTTTGGGCGTTAACATCTTGAATGGAAGTCTGTGAAGAGCTCGGTTCAAGGCACGCAAGTCTAGGATTGGCCATAACCCACCTGTTTTCTTGGGTACTATGAAGTAGGAGCTGTAGAAGCCGGACTTAATGTCGGCTGGAGGGACCGGCTATATCGCGCCCTTTGCCAGCAGGGTCATGACCTCCGTGCGCATGATAGGAGCATCCTTGCCCACCATCGTAGCGCGAATACCCCAAAACCTGGGGGGACGCCGAGCAAATTGAATCGCGTAGCCAAGCCTGATCGTTCGGATGAGCCAGTGGGACAAACTGGAGAGCTGTAGCCAGGCTCCCAGAAACCGAACCAGCGGGGTCAAGGGAACTACAGGCATACCCACAGTGGGGCAGCGAGGCGGAACAGATTAGCGTCCCTTACCAAGGGCGGAGTGCGAGCACTCATCTGATTCTGAGACATGGCAAAGGGGGCGTGAGAAGGCAATGCGTTCTCGAGCCGGCTCTGCCTGGAAACTGGCAAAGGAAGAGGGGACGAGAGCGGCAAGGAATCACGGTCCTACTTCTACTGTCATCCGCGGCCTCTTGGGACCCGGAGGTAGAGGAAACGGCTCTTTTAATGAAGGTTTGGTTACCACTGGCCGTGGGTAACCAAAAACAAAGGATTCTCCCCCGGCCCTCCTCCAGGGGAAGGAGTGGTCCTGCTACCATCTCCTGAAGAGCTGACTTCCCCATCTCAGGAATGCCACTTGGCCGGACGCTTGGCAGGTTTAGGTGCAGAGACGGGCTGCGCCACCCTTCTGCGGCCATCTCCTCACTGCGGCCAGGGTGGAGGCTGCTGTTGTGGCCGAGCGGGAGTGGAGGAGACCGCAGGGGGTCGAGCAGGCTGAGGTGGCTTAGCCAGCAGCAGTGTGGAAACAGCAGTGGGCCGCCGGGGCAGAATGTGTTTTATGGCCTCAGACTGCTTCTGTGCGGCAGAGAATTGCTGGGAAAAACTCTCAACCGCGTCGCCAAAGAGGCCAGCCTGAGAGAATGGGGAGTTGAGGAACTGAGTCCAATCAGACTCCCTCATGTCTGCCAGGTTCAGCCATAGGTGGCGCTCCTGGACCACCAAAGTGGACATCACCTGACCCAAGCAGCGTTCAGTGACCTTCGTCACCCGGAGGGTGAGGTCGGTAGCAGTGCGCGCCTCCTGCAAGACTTCCGGGTCAGCACTGGCCTCGTGCAGCTCTTTGAGCACCTTGGCCTTGTAGACCTGGAGGGTCTCTGTAAGCCTTGGCCACAAGCGTGGATGAGAACTTACAGGCTTTGGACGGGAGCTTGGGACCACCACTCCAGGTGGAGGCGCTCTGAGGACACAATTCCATCACAACCGAGTGCTCCACTGGGGGTATACCCTTTGGCCGCCCCGCCGTCGAGGGCAGTGAAGGCGGAGGTTGCACCAGAACGGTTTCGGGCAGTTAAAGGTGCCTTCCACGAACTGGTAACTTCCTGATGCACCTCCGGGAAAAAATTAACCGGAGGGGGGCGCTGGCGATCAGCGCGTGCAGCCCCCAGGAACCAATTGTCCAGCCTCGAGCATTCGGGACAGGGTGGAGGATTCCACCAAAGAGGCCAGCCTGAGAGAATGGGGAGTTGAGGAACTGAGTCCAATCAGACTCCCTCATGTCTGCCAGGTTCAGCCATAGGTGGCGCTCCTGGACCACCAAAGTGGACATCACCTGACCCAAGCAGCGTTCAGTGACCTTCGTCACCCGGAGGGTGAGGTCGGTAGCAGTGCGCGCCTCCTGCAAGACTTCCGGGTCAGCACTGGCCTCGTGCAGCTCTTTGAGCACCTTGGCCTTGTAGACCTGGAGGGTCTCTGTAAGCCTTGGCCACAAGCGTGGATGAGAACTTACAGGCTTTTCCAGGTGGAGGCGCTCTGAGGACACAATTCCATCACAACCGAGTGCTCCACTGGGGGTATACCCTTTGGCCGCCCCGCCGTCGAGGGCAGTGAAGGCGGAGGTTGCACCAGAACGGTTTCGGGCAGTTAAAGGTGCCTTCCACGAACTGGTAACTTCCTGATGCACCTCCGGGAAAAAATTAACCGGAGGGGGGCGCTGGCGATCAGCGCGTGCAGCCCCCAGGAACCAATTGTCCAGCCTCGAGCATTCGGGACAGGGTGGAGGATTCCACTCGAGCCCGATGCTCTCTGCTGCCCGGGAAAGCATGGCCATCAGCTCGGGATCAGACTTGGGCAATGCTGGTGTCCCAGAGGGAGGCAACGCAGCCAAATCCTCATCTCCCGAGGACTCAAGCCCGCCTTGTGATGTGGCGATCGACATTTAGTCATCCTCCTGAGCCCCGAATGAGATGCTGGGATCCTGGTGAGAGGCTGCGGTCTCGTCGGGGAAGCCCACACCATAACCCTCAGATCACCCTGGCCACCAGTAAAGTAGCCCTCTTACGAGAAGAGGAACTACATTGGGGTGTGGCAGAGGGTACTCTATACCGTTTAAGGTAATCAAGTCTCGATCTTAATGCCGAGATGGTCATGTCCCCACAATGAGAGCATGAACCATCCACGCAAAAGACGCAAACACACTCTTTTAGAGAAAATAAGCTCTTTCAGAGGCGCTGAAGTGCTCAGGCCAATGCAGGAGCTGGAAAGAAGAAGCAGGAAGCTCTTCAACGAACCGATAAATCGCGCTGTCACACCAACACCACTGAAGACTCGTTGCAAAACCCTCCGGTGATACCAGCAGAGAGATGTGCTCGTCTCCGAAGCTAAAGCTTGAATGCGAGTTGCTCGCGCTGCTCCTTATATACCTACACATCGGGGCGGAGCTCGCGATGCAAGGGGGTAAAAATTACTTTAGAAAGACGGCAGCATCATTATGTTATTTTTACACAGAGATTGGTAGCTCTATTAGTAAAGTCTGTTGACTTTAGCAATTATTGTCGCATTATATGCCAATGGTTACAGTTCAAAAATAGGAAAAATCACTTCTTGTTGATTATTTTTCCCTTGAATTTTGCGTGCCTGTAGGCATTAAAGATATCTGATCTTATAAAGATATTTTAGTTCTTAAAGGGGTCATCGGATGCGACATGCAGTTTTACAAGTTGTTTGAACTGAAATGTGTGTTGGCAGTGTGTGTACACAACCACCTTATAATGATAAAGATCCACCCAGTGTTTTTTTATCTCATTAAATAATTTCCTCTTTCTCATATCAAGCCATTCTCAGATGCCTGTCTGTGTGACATTACACAGACCCAGGCCCCTCCCACGATTGTTGACTGACACTAGCATTTTACCTTAGACCCGCCCTGAGTGAGCTGTCATCAGTCCGCCATTGTTTCACCACCAAAGCAGGAGTAGACAAGAATGGCTCCTAAGTGATTGAGGTGCTCTGTTGTTGGATGTAATAAAGAACATAGCAGTCGTCATTTACTCCTAACATCTGAGCTGCTGAAGACACAGTGGATTACCTTTATTTTTGAAGGGAATGCGCCCCCAGATTTATCTAAATGTGTCTATGTTTGCATAAATCATTCCTGATTCAGCCTCACCTACAGAAGAAGTGAGTATAAGGTTCTTTTATGAATCTTTGCAAATCGCCTTTTCTAATAACGTGCTAGTTAGCAAGTTCCGCAACTAAAGTAAACAGTCTCATGAGAACGGATCATCACCCCATGGAAGAGAGGGGCGGGGTCAGCAGAGCTCATTAGCATTTAAAGGGAAATGCACCGAAACGGGTCGCTGTGAACAGAGCTGTTTTTGACAGGATAAAAAGGGAGTTGTTTTACACTACCATTGAGAAATTATAACCAAAATATGTTATAGACTTTTCATTAAGACCCTAAAGAATTATATCAACTTGTGGAAAATGGGCATCCGATGACCCCTTTAATTTTCAATGTGGCTCCAAGAGTAAATTGTTAAATTGTACATATTTTCAGTTGTCAAAAACCAAATGCATTCAGCTGATACTTTTTTTTTATTTAAAGAGAAATTAGAATAGTTCTGCCATGAAACTCTACTTGTGTTCTAATTGGTTCATTCAAGACAACGTTCCCAGACAATCGGAATGACATACTCATTACTGTTTACCTATATAACCAGGACATATTAAATGAATGCTATGTCTGCACGCTATGCATGTCCTCATTTTAGCCCACAGCCTCCCCAGCACCGCCTGCCTAGATCTGCTACGTGGATCTTCCTCTATCTAGCAGCAGCATGTTTCCTTTTAATTTTATGACCTAAGCATTTAGCAGCAGCATCGTAGCAGATTTAGTCCGCCAAGACCAAACCTATGCACATTATATTTACATTATTAAAATTAAAATTTATAATGTACCCAAGAGTTGTCATGACTGAAATAATGTTAAAACTAGACATATCATGTTTCCCTCTATCAAAACAATTGCATAGGACATACCTATCCAAGTGCCATAAATATTATTTTTCCAATGTTTGCGTGCCTGTACCTCTAGACGAATTAAAGATATCTTTGTAGCTTTTTACATTCTGGTTCTTAATATACTTTTCTTTCATAAACTTAATGTTTAAGGCCCTATGTGGTTCAATCCTAAAGATATGGGGAGTCCAATGCGACTCAATGTCCAAATTGTGGATTGTTTATTGTGACAATCAGTACTCTAGGTGAATATATAAGCACCAACAGAGCAGGTAAGGTAGAAAAAAATAGCATTTTTTCAGTATATTGGCAAACACGAGGGGAGTTGTTGGAGACTGGAGCAGTAAATTGCAGTAAATTGGAGTTTTAGAGATGGGGAGGATATCACCCAGGTAAGTTATCCAGGTAAGTCGATTGCACGAATCAAGGATTGCACGGTCCTAGTCGTAGAGTGAATGGTGTGTAGTAGTAGTCGTTGATGTAAATGGTGTGGACTTATATGCAGGGTGTTTTTTAATGAGGTGATAGAGTAGTGACAGGTGTAGATGATGACAGAACGAGTGCACAGGAGACAATGGAGGAGCAGAGTCTTTAGGAAGCCATCAGGTTGGGAGCAGGGAAAGTAGTTCTCTTTCTATTATGCCTGATTGCCTTTAGATGTTCCTTGTTATCCCTTGATTAGTTATATATTTAAACTTGTGTTTGCCATGGTCTTTGGTCGGTTGTTGTTTGTATTCTTGGGCTTTGTGCTGTGTTCCAGGTTTCTCTGATCATGTCATTGATTGTGTCACGAATCCGGTCCATGAACTTTCCAAGTCTAGTCACAGTTGTTCTTCCTGAGTTCAGTCAAGTCACAACTGACATTCATGAGTCTAGTCAAGTCACAACTGTTCGTCATGAGGCAAGTCAGGTCACAGTTGATCTTCCTCAGTCAAGTCTAGTCACCACTGATCTTCCTGAGTTGAATTTAGTCACAGTTGATCATAATGAGTCAAGTCAGGTCACTGCTAATCTGGATATTTAAAAAAAAATAGTATAATGCTTTTGTCTGTCTTGATTTGTATTCTGTCATCATGTTATGATTATGAGGTTTGTTGACAGCAACATTGCTTATTGCTTTCTGTTGGCTGACTGTTTGGCACACAATTTGATTTCCTATGTTAGTGTAGAATTAGTATGTCAACAAATCCTGTATACTCTCACACATGACAGCAGACAACAAATCACCAGAGTGTTTTTAATTTTGTATATATAGTTTTAAAATTTTGTGTACGCATACACATATCAATGAATATTTATAATTATAATTTCACTTTTTTTCTGTGTTGTCAGGTTATTTTACCCAGATCTCCACACTGGCAGATGTTCAGGAGAATGTGATGGAGTATCTGCATGTGCTCAGTCGGCCGAAGGTCATTGATCGAGAGCATGACATGGTGTGGACAGAAGCCTATGTTGATAACACTGTAAGTGACTCATTTATGTTTTTGACATTTTTTTTCATGTGAAAATCCACATATAAATCATTGTTAACCTTATGAACCCCATGCACACAGAGAAGAGTATTGTGTATTGTGCAAACCAAAAGTGCAGTGTATTTGAATACACCAGGGGTAGGCAAGTTCGGTCCTAGAGAGCCGCAGTCCTGCAGAGTTCAGCTCCAACCCTAATCAAACACACCTGAACAAGCTAGTCAATGTCTTCAGGATTACTAAGGCTATAGGCAGGTGAGTTTTGTTTTCAGGGTTGGAGCTGAACTCTGCAGGACTGCGGCTCTCTAGGACCGAACTTGCCTACCCCTGGAATACACTGTCTGTACTGTTTTTTTTTAATGCAGAACAGGCTACAGTGCAAACGTTCCCATATTCTCTAAGCTGAGCGCAATTTGTATTGCGTAGTTTAGATTTTAGTTCAGGAGCCGAGTGCAACCGCAGAGCTGTCTCCTCACTCAATAGCATTTGAGGGGGTGCTCAAAGCTTTGATAAAGGTGGTAGCTAAACTTAGCATCGAGTGGCCTAAGGAAAGAATGAAAGCGCCTCGTAGTAAACTTAACGAATGTTTCCTGACTAGTGGTCGGGCCCAGCCACCAAAGAGAAATTGTTAGGAGGCTTAGGAGGCTGACCTGCTGAAGGAGCTGTGTGCTGGCAAGGGCCTCATGTATGGCTAATACTGGGATCAAGGACAAAGAAAAAAAAGCTTTTCTGCTGGACAGCCCAATGTCATCATCTGGCCTTTTTGGTGACGCAGCAGCAACACTATTGTAGAGGTCTGCACGGGACTGTTTTTTTAGTCCCGCTCCTGCAAAGTTCTATTCCGCACCTACCCGCTCCTGCTATATATTCACTCTTTGTTCACCCGCTGTCCGTTTAGAATAATTTTCCGTTCCCGCTAAATTTAGATCTCGTTTTCAGAACCTCACATTTAAATTTCCGCTACTGAGAGAGATAGTCTAACAAATTAAAGTGTAGCATGCACAAAATTGTAGGCCTATTTGTAATTGTATTCGTCTTGTCAAGACACAAAATTCGTTTAACATTTCGCTGTCAACACAGCAAAAAAAAAAGTGTCACAGAGAAAACAATAATGTAGGTTGTAGAAAAAGTTTAGCTATTTCTTATTTGTATTCATCTTTTCAAGATACAATTCGTTTAAAATTTTGCTGCATGTCAACACAATAGGAAAAAGTGTTGCAGAGAAAAAAACAAAACAAATGTAGGTTGTACAGAAATTGTAACCTCTTTGTTATTTTGATTCTCTTAGTCTTGTCAAAATACAAAATTCATTTAACATTTTGCAATGTCTCCAAGATGCATCAAGAAACCTATCTGCAAAGCTACCTGAAAAACTCTGCGCAAGTGCACCTAGGTCAAAAGCAGCTTTAAACGCAAAGGATGCTCACACCAAATGTTGATTTCATTTTGTTAATAGAAGTTAATTGATAAAGAATTATTTTTTCCCCCTATGACATTATTTTTGACCGCATCCTCATTTTACAGCATTTTTACACAAGTGCCTAGAACTTTTAACAGTACTGTAGCTTTGCAGGTAGGTTTCTTGAAGCGTCTTGGAGACAGTTCTTCTGGATTTAGTCTGTCTCAGTTTGTTCTGTTTCCTTCCAGACAGACTGGATGATGATCAGATCAAATCTCTGTGTGGAGCACACAAATCTCACTGGATTATAACAATTAATGGCAAAATTAATGTTTGGAAATGTAAACTGATATTTCCTACTGACACACTACAGCAAAATATTGAAATAACTGACTTAAAACCATTTTTTAGCTGCTGAAAATACTAGTGTTCTAATCATTTTGGCCACCATTGTATATAACCAATTAACAAAGAGCTTATAAGTTTGTATTTAAAAGTTTTAAAAACTATTTCCCTATGAATAAAATGAATGGAGCTTTTACCTCTCCTTAACTTCCAAATATATTTCAGATCCAGACACCACTTTATGAAGTAATGACAAGGAGAAGTTGTAATATGTGTGTGTGCACTCATTTGATCGTAGTTTGTCTTTTGTCTTTGTAGCGTCCACAGGCTCAAAAGGTAAAGGTTTAATTCACATTTTGATTGTGATTTAGCGGTGTTTCTACATAGCGCATTAACCCATTACGTGGATCTGCTTTGTTACATTATGTTGTGTGCAGTTTGGACAAGTTTTCATTCTTATTTGACTTTTTTTTTTAAAGTGATGACTTTGTGTAGTCTATATCACTGCCATACTTGATTTTCCAGTCATCTGTGAACTCAGACTATCTGTATTACTGTTAGTGGAAGTCTTTGTATGTGTTGGCAGGGCCAGACGTCACTTGCCCAAAATTACATGCCACCTCTTTCTTTACTGGTTGCCTGGCTTGACGAAACTATGAAATTCTGTTGCTGATGTACAATATTCTTAAAATTAGAAGACTTCATCGTCTCATAGTTTTACTAGTTTACCGGATGTACCTACATTTAGCTTCTTGAATTTAGAATTTTTTCTGTTTTTGCTGTTTAATGAAAAAACAGAAACTTTAGTCTCTTCAAAACACAATATATTCTTCCAAACATTGTTACACTCTGATATTCTGCTGGAGTGACACTAACTAAACAAATAAAAAAAATGTCATAAGATCCCTTCGGTAAGCTGACCCTTGTTAAAAAATAGTAAACATACCTTTAAAAAGAGTACTTATTGTGGAAATATACACTGCTTAAAAAAAATAATGAAACACATCAGATCTCAATGGGGAAAAATATCATGCTGAATAATATCTATACTGATATGGACTGGGTCATGTGTTAGAAACGAAAGGATGCCACATCGTTTGATGGAAATTAAAATGATCAACCTACAGAAGACTGAATTTAAAAGACCCCCCGAAAATCAAAGTGAAATGATTTATAGCAGGCTAGTCCATTTTGCTGAAATTTCATTGCAGCAACTCAAAATGGTACTCAGTAGTTTGTATGGCCCCCACGTGCTTGTATGCATACCTGACATGCATGCATACTTGATGCTATACTCTGATTAAAAAGTGTATAAAAAAATAATGAAACACATCAGATCTCAATGGGGAAAAATATCATGCTGAATAATATCTATACTGATATGGACTGGGTCATGTGTTAGAAACGAAAGGATGCCACATCGTTTGATGGAAATTAAAATGATCAACCTACAGAAGACTGAATTAAAAGACACCGCGAAAATCAAAGTGCAATGATTTATAGCAGGCTAGTTCATTTTGCAGAAATTTCATTGCAGCAACTCAAAATGGTACTCAGTAGTTTGTATGATAATAATAATAATCCTGTCCTTATTCCAATAAAAATAATGATAATGTCACAACTAGCTTAGCACTGTGACAAATAAAGGGAACAGCAAAAGTTGTCTGAATAACCTAAATATGTGTTATTACAATAAAAAGCAAAAAAATAACTAAACAATTAAAACGTCAGTTAATAGAATAGGCATTTCCAGTAAACAAGAAAAATGGTTTAACTAACTGATGAACATCCATAGTATGATGCATTATTGGAGAAAGTAACCAACTAGTCATGACTGTTTCCCGAAATCATTTGTGCACATCCCTCAGTTGAACCATGTTGGTTCAGCAGTATAAAGGACTGCCATTATCACCGTCACACACAGGCAATGCTCCCTCTAAGCTGTGCACGTGTGCGGCCATGCACAGGACATTTGCAGAAATGAGTTGAGAAAGCCATTTCATTGAATTCTAGTAAATGCAAAATAATTGCAATGGTTGGGCAAACTGCTACAGAGTTGGTGTCACTATAGAACCAGTGAATGCGGTTTAGAGGTGTCATAGAAAGAGAATGATGTGTGCCAAATTAGTCGCTCTAGAAATTGGACGAAATAGCTCAACACGAGAGCCAACGCAAACGTGCTTCTCAAATGGAAGGCTGCATCCTACCAAGGTTGCGTCCTTCATAGTTCAGTCTTGTAGGCTATAGAGTCCTCCTCGACATTAAATGCTAGTCTGTCTAGTAAGTGCGCATGGCTACGTCACATACATCGCCCTCACTGGCACGGCACGAAAATACTAATAAAACTTAGTTTTTGAAAAATACTTTATATTATCTTTAAATTATTTGGCTTTCTGTTAATGTAATGCAATGAATCACAGCTGTCTTATCAAAATTCCAAGGGCCAGTTTTATTAACAGCTTGTGCAGCGCAAACCATCTTTTGGCATTAAAATAGTACTGTCAGGATTTACTAAAGACGCGCAGTGATGAATTAGTGCTGAAAAGGCGTGGACAGTTATTTTTGCCCCTGACATTATTGAATATGCATTTCTAGGAGTTTTCCAAACGTATTAATTTATTTGGAAAGAAAACATTATCCGAACATATCGTTTCCAAGCCATGTTATTTTGCTCTGTTTAGTATATATAAAATATAAATAGCACATTAAAGTGAATTTACACACTTTTTGTGTGTGTGCGCTGTACAGATCTGTATAAAGAATGTTTTTGCTCAGGTGGCCGAAATGTCTGCCCAATAGGGAAACATTTTGCTCAACAAGAAAAAAAAAATTAGAGGGAACATTGCTGTCACGAATCCTGTCCATGGATTAACCCTTTGCCTTTCTGTTTCGGACTGTGTTTTCACCTCGCCTGGACTATTGCTTGTGTTATTGAATTTTCCCTCTTGTCAAGGCCTCTGGATAACGTTCACTGTCGACTGACTCACACCTTCCTTTGGATACTCTTTTGTCTTGCCTGTAATGTACCTGCTTGCCACTGTCTGACCCATGCCTGTTTTATGACTACGTCTCTGTCTAAATAAAGCCTTGCAAATGGATCTGCACGTCTCACTTCTCGTTCGCCCTGTTACAGAATACTCGGCCACACAAGGATCCAGCGGCTTTTCAAGTGGACACTGGCCAGGTATGGACATTGCAAGACTGTTTTTAGCCCTCAAACAGGGCACACGATCACTCAAGCTATATTCAAGAGTATTTGAACTTTGATTATTTTTCTGATCTGCCGGACTGTGTGCTCATAGACTTCTTTTGTGAGGGCATTAATCAGCCGCTCAAATCACGCTTAATCCGTGAAGGTCCCCGCTCATCTCTCAGTCAGTTTATGGACTATGCTTTGTTAACTGTTGGTTCAACATTCACTGTGGGTGTCGTGGAGGAACGCAACCCCGCACTCACTCGTGTAAAGGCGGCCGCACTAGAGCACGCTCACAAAATTACGGCGACAGCGGAGCCTGATCGCAAAATGGCAGACACAACATCGCCCCGTTATGTCATAGCTGATCTTCCTGAGTCAAGTCAAGTCACAGTTGATCTTCATGAGTCAAGTCAAGTCAAGTCACAGTTGATCATCATGGGTCAAGTCAAGTCACAGCTGATCATCATGGGTCAAGTCAAGTCACAGCTGATCTTCATGAGTCCAGCCAAGTCACAGTTGATCTTCCTGAGTCCAGCCAAGTCACAACTGATCTTCATGAGTCAAGTCAAGTCACAGCTGCTCGTCATGAGTCCAGTCACGTCTCAACTGATCTTCCAGAGTCTTGTCACGTCTCAGCTGATCTGCCAGAGCCTTGTCACGTCTCAGCTGATCTGCTAGAGTCTCGCCATGTCTCAGCAGTTCGTCCAGAGTCACGTCACATAACAACTGATCTTCCAGAGTCTCGTCACGTCTCAGCTGATCTTCCAGAGTCACGTCACTTCCTGTCTGTTACACCCAGATTATCAAGGTCAGCCCTTCGGTATCCCAGTCTGGTATCCAGTGTGAGGGATGCACCGCTGGTGTCTGCATGCGCAGCTGGTATCCCCAAACCCACTCACTCTAGCCCTCCTGTTCCTGAACTGATTCCCCTGTCTGAAGTGCTTCCCATGATGGGGATCACTTTTTGGTGTATTTGAGCTGCATACACTACCACCGAACCTCCCGAGGGGGAGGCGCTCGCTTCAGCTCCTTGCGTGGTGGTGGCGCTCAGTGATGCACTCTCAGCCTGTCGTGTTGCGGTCGAAGAGACCGTTACTGACTTCTCCCTGTTTCCTGATGTTACTGCTGTAGAACCTCCAGAGGTGGTGGCAACTGCTGCAGAACCTCCAGAGGTGTCTCTGCCTGCCCAGCCACGGCCAAGGAGGCCATTTATGAGTTCTCAGTCTGTCCTGTCGCGGTCAAAGGGACCGTTGCTGAACTCCGTACCTGTCCTGTTAAGGAGAATGTTAATGAACTCTCCCTGTTTCCTGTTGGTACTGCTGTAGAACCTCCAGAGGTGGCGGCATCCGCTGCAGAACCTACAGAGGTGTCAGTAGTATCCACTTGTGAACTCACGTCCTGTTCTGTTCCGGCCAAGGAGGCCGTCTGTGAGCTCTCTGCCAGTCCTGTAATGGCTATGGAGGCCGTCTGTGAATTCTCTGCCTGTCCTGTAATGGCTAGGGAGGCCGTCTGTGAATTCTCTGCCTGTCCTGTAACGGCTATAGAGGCAGTCTGTGAATTCTCTGCCTGTTCTGTTCCGGCCAAGGAGGCCGTCTGTGAACTCTCTGCCTGTCCTGTCATGGCTATGGAGGCTGCTTATAAACTTTTCTCCTGCTCTGAACCAGCCGAGGAGGCCATCTCAGAACTGTTGTCTTTTTCTAAACCTGTCAGGAAGGCCAATTATAGACTTTTGTCCTGTTCCGATCCAGCCGAGGAGGCTGCCTATGAAGTCTCAGCCCTGTCCTTCACAGCCAGAAAGGTCACCTGTGAATTCTTAACCCTGCCTGTCATGAACCCGGAAATCATAAATTAACTCTATATTTGCCCCATTACTTCTGTCGTTGCCACAGAGACCCCTAGTGAACAGTCTATCTATCCAGTTTCAATCAATGCACCCGGTCTTGATCTGTCTGCCAGTCCACAACTCCCACATGTACCTAATTCTGGATTATCTGTATGTCCTGTTACAGTCCATGAGTCTAATATTGAACTGTCTGTCTGTCCAGTCACTCTCAACGTAACTAACACAGAGTTTACTGCCCTGTCTGTCACAGCCCAAAAACCCGCCTTTGAACCCTTAAACTTGCCTGTCATGAGCCCAGAGACTATAAATACACACAGTGTCTGTCCCTTTAACCCTGTCACTGCCATAGAGAACATTGATGAACTGTCTGCATGTTCTGTTTTCCCTAATGTGTCTGTTGAACCATCTGCCTTGCCAGTCCCAGTCAGTAAGCCTGTTTGTGAACTGTCTGCATATCCAGTTTCAATCAGTGAGCTGTATGCCCTTTCAATGGTCACCAGGGGGACTATTGATGAACTTCTTGTGTTCCCTGCCTCGGTCCCTGAGACCATGAATGCACTGCCTGTGTTGTCTGTCTCTGTTTTCCCTAGGCCCCAGTCTCTGCCATGGGTCTCGGCTCCGTCTGCTCCACCGTGGAGGTATTCAGCTCCGCCCTGGTGGGCTTCTGCTCCACCTGCTCTGCCCTGGTGGGCCTGTGTCCCGTCTGCTTTGCCCTGGTGGGCTTCTGTCCCATCTGCTCCGGCCTGGTGGGTTCCTGCTCTGTCTGCTCCGCCCTAGTGGGCTTCTGCTCCGCCTGCTCTGCCCTGGTGGGCCTCTGTCCCATCTGCTCTGGCCTGGTGGTCTTCTGTCCTGCTCTGGTGGTCTTCTGTTCTGCTGTGGGGATCTTCGGACCAGTCTGCTCAGCTGTGGTGGTCCTCAGCTCCACCTGCTCTGCCGACCCCACTCTGGCTCCCAGCTTTGCCGGCTCCACCCTGGTTTCCTGCTTCGCCGGTTCTGCCTTGGTGCTCTGCTCTGCTACTCTGCCTACTCTGGAAGTCTCTCCACTTCCATGTGGACCACCATCTGCCTTGCCAGTCCCAGTCAGTAAGCCTGTTTGTGAACTGTCTGCATATCCAGTTTCAATCAGTGAGCTGTATGCCCTTTCAATGGTCACCAGGGGGACTATTGATGAACTTCTTGTGTTCCCTGCCTCGGTCCCTGAGACCATGAATGCACTGCCTGTGTTGTCTGTCTCTGTTTTCCCTAGGCCCCAGTCTCTGCCATGGGTCTCGGCTCCGTCTGCTCCACCGTGGAGGTATTCAGCTCCGCCCTGGTGGGCTTCTGCTCCACCTGCTCTGCCCTGGTGGGCCTGTGTCCCGTCTGCTTTGCCCTGGTGGGCTTCTGTCCCATCTGCTCCGGCCTGGTGGGTTCCTGCTCTGTCTGCTCCGCCCTAGTGGGCTTCTGCTCCGCCTGCTCTGCCCTGGTGGGCCTCTGTCCCATCTGCTCTGGCCTGGTGGTCTTCTGTCCTGCTCTGGTGGTCTTCTGTTCTGCTGTGGGGATCTTCGGACCAGTCTGCTCAGCTGTGGTGGTCCTCAGCTCCACCTGCTCTGCCGACCCCACTCTGGCTCCCAGCTTTGCCGGCTCCACCCTGGTTTCCTGCTTCGCCGGTTCTGCCTTGGTGCTCTGCTCTGCTACTCTGCCTACTCTGGAAGTCTCTCCACTTCCATGTGGACCTGGCCCTCCATCCCTTCCCCTGTTCCGCCTCTGCTCCACCACCCTCCTGGATTTTACTGTTTTAGAAGCGTCTGGAAGCCACTGCTTGGGGGGGGGGGCTATGTCACGGATCCTGTCCATGGACTTCCGTTCGATCGCCACCAGAGGTCACCCTTCCGTTACATTGATTCTCACACTACACAAACTGTTGCATGTCATCCCGGACTACATTTCCCATGCTCCATTGCACTGATTGGACTCACCTGCAGCCAATCACACACTATATAACAATCACTCAAATCCTTCTCTAATCGCCGAGTATTGTTTGCGTATATCGCTCTCCTAGTGGTAGCACATTACGGAGCCAGTTTCCTGACATAGTTTATAGTCCTTAGTTCCTAGTCTTGTCTTGCCTGCTTTCCCGTGTTACCTGATTATTGCCTGTTTATCTTGGATTAACCCTTTGCCTTTCTGTTTCGGACTCTGTTTGCACCTCACCTGTACTATTGCTCGTGTTATTGGATTTTCCCTCTTGTCAAGCCCTCTGGATAACGCTCACTGTCGACTGACTCACACCTTTTTTTGGATACTCTTTTGTCTTGCCTGTAATGTACCTGCTTACCACTGTCTGACCCATGCCTGTTTTATGACTACGTCTCTGTCTAAATAAAGCCTTGCAAATGGATCCGCACGTCTCACTTCTCGTTCGCCCCATTACAATTGCACACAGGTAATGAAGTAAAAATGTTGAGATAGATTTGACTTTAATGTCAGAATATTATAATTCATTTACACAAACAAAACAAAACCGTTCATTAAAAAAAAAGCACGTTATGCAGGTGGTTCAGGTGTGTTTAATAAGAGTTGGAGCTAACCTCTGCAGGGCTGTGGCCCTCCAGGAACTGAGTTTGACATCACTGGTATAGCATATTCCGTGCATGGTTTATTCAATCAGGAGCATTGCCCTTAACATAATTTCTCAGAGATGGAAATGTCACTATATATAATAGATCGATCCATATAGCAGTAGTTCCAAACACACAACCTTGTGATGCCGTTTGTTAATGTTTGTTTGAACTGGGGTTTTGAGAAACACATAATCTTTGAGCTATGTTGGTAACGATGGAACTGCTGACCATAGTTGAATAACAATGGTTTTGGGAAATGCATCCTGTAGAGTTCAGCTCCAATCCTATAAAACACACTTCACTAACAATGTTGGCTAACCCTGGACACACATCAAAATAATAAAACTAATGTCTGAACTAATACTATGTCCACAGCTTAATTTGCCTGAGAAACACGCTTCATTATCAGATTAAAAAAATAGGCCGATCTCAGATTTTCTTTATGAATTTTTTTCATTTATTTTAATTATTTTAGTGCCAAAGCACCCTAATGACTTAACCAATTTGACATTATTTCAGATGATGATGAAATAAAATTAAATGTCAAAAAAGTATCTGTTGCAGAAAAAAATGTGAAAACAGATGGCTAATCACTTTCCCATGAGAACCAGGAAATGAATAACATTCATTCACATCTTTGTTATGTGTTGTTGTGTATTTGTGTAGCTGGAAGATGCTCAGGGTCCTGTGCTCATGACTACCGTGGCCATGCCTGTGTTCAGCACCAAGAACGAGACTGTAAGTGATCCTAAACTTTGACTTTGATAATGTTAACCAGTGGCTATTTAGTCAGTATGAATGTTTTCTGTATAGCACTCATCAAACTATACCAACAGAGAGAGGAAATATGCCAAAGTAAGAAAGAAATAATGATGTAGAAAGGTTTAATTGGAAACTAATATTAAGTCGTGACATTAAGTAGGGCAGTCGTGGCCTAATGGATAGAGAGCCAGACTTGTAACCCGAAGATCGTGGGTTCAAGTCTCAGGTCCGGCAGGGATTGTCGGTGGGGGGAGTGAATAACCAGTGCTCTCTTCCACCTTCAATACTACGACTGAGGTGAGATCCTTGAGAAAGGCACCAAACACCCAACTGCTCCCCGGGCACACTTAGATGGGTTAAATGCAGAGCACACATTCTGAGTATGGGACACCATACTTGGCCACACGTCACTTTAGACTTGTCAAAACATTTAACCAATAAAGTATGATGAATCATAACAAATATTAAAGGTTTAGTTCACCCAAAAATGAAAATTAGACCATAAATTACTCACCCTCAAGTCATCCTAGGTGTATATGACTTTCTTTTTTCAGACGAATCCAGTCGGGAGTTATATAAAAAATTGGCTTCGATCTTTCAAGCTGTTTATGCCACTCAGCGGGTGTTGCATGCATCAGTCCAAAAGAAGTTAAATAAAAAGCGCCCCTCCATTTAAAAAAATTTCTCACACGGCTCCGGGGGGTGAACAAAGGCCTCCTGTAGCGAATCGATGCGTTTTTGTATGAAAAATATCCATATTCAAAACGTAATAATCACTTTAATGTAGCTTGTGCCAACACGGAAGCAGCTCTGGGCTTATGACGTATGAGTTCAGCGTTGCACATGCACCAGTGAGTCTTGTGAAAACCAACGTTTGTTAACAGGAGCAAAGGAAGCAAAGTTTCCTTATTTTAGCAAAGGAAAACCAGTCTCCTCTTGGCTTATTTCGAAATCCTCCGACATTCTTCTTTACAAATCCTTGTTTTGTACTTCTAATAAGTGACTGTTGTTTTGTTTTGATCTCACCCCTGCGCTTCCACGTTCATCACTTCTGAGCGGCGCATGTGTAATGCTGAACTCATACGTCATCTGCCCGGAGCTGCTTCCGTGTACAACTGTTGGCGCAAGCTACATTAACGTGACTATTACGTTTTGAATATGGATATTTTTCTTACAAAAACGCATCAATTTGCTAGAGAAGGCCTTTGTTCACCCCCCGGAGCCGTGTGAGACACTTTTTTTTATGGATGGGTGATTTTTATTTAACTTCTTTTGGACTGATGCATGCAACACCCGCTGACAGCAATTAAACAGTTTGAAAGATCAAATACAATTTTTAATGGAACTCCGACTGGATTTGTCTGAAAGAATAAAGTCATATACACCTAGGATGACTTGAGGGTGAGTAATTTATGGGCTAATTTTCATTTTTGGATGAACTAACCCTTTAAGATTTTTTTTGCTTTGCTTTTTGCTTTGGTTTTTAACATGCTTGTGTTCATTGTTTTAAGAGAAATAAAGGAATTCTTCTTGGAGTAGTTGGCACAGATGTTCCAGTGTCTGAAATACTGAAGGCCATCCCTAAATACAAGGTACACAGACAAGTCACCTATAACTGTCCATTCATTAGAACTTGGACCTCCTGTTGATTATCTGTCTAGCACCAGAGAGTGAATGGATGGATGAATGAATGGATGGATGGATGAATGAATGAAAATCAACCATTTAGATAACCCTTTTTTTCTCTCTCTAGAAGATAGCATTGTAATTTCATGTTCACTAAAACCGCATAAAATGATGTGACATCTGCAGTTTTCCTTTCTGTATTTGGCATATTTATTATTGAAATCCAAGTAAGTTTGTGTCAAATTTACCATCTTTCTTATTTAAATGGTCATTAGACTTGAGTTATATCATCGATATGGACCATGATTTGTTACTTGCTATTGTGGTCAAGTGGAGAAGAAGAGCCTATACTAGAACAAGATGTAAACTAAAGAAAGATAAACTTGACTTTGCCTATTCCCTGGCAGAGGTTCTCAGACTGGCACTGGAGTGCAAATAAGTCCACCCACCAAAAGGATCACAGGTCCATCCAATAAAGGGCTAGAGATGTGGCTTCAAGTACAACAATATATTTATTTAACATACAAACAATCAATCATGTCACATCAGTAGTGAAGAACAGACCCATACAATGCACACACACTTTATAGAACCAATACAAAATGTTAAGTAGAGCTGAGACATGCTAGTTGGGAGCTGCTAATTACAGTCATTATCTGTCCTGAAACGCACAATCACACACACACACCTGCATACTTGAGTGACTGAGATGGTCGATAATGAGCATAGTAAGTGTGTTAAGTGTTACAGCTCATTGAACTGCTCACACTTAAAATTAAAGTGCTTCTTAAGGAAAAAAAAAGAAAAGAAAAATCTACCATCTCCCATAGGTCTAGTTCTATGGTTGCTGACTGAGGTGCCACAAAAGCTAGAGTCCTGGGTGTTTAGCTCGAGGCTGTCGAGAATGAGCAGAGGATTTCTGTTTCTCTCTCACTCCCTAAACCATGTGCAGTGTATTTCTCAGGTGGAGTTCACACATGAGGAGTTGTGTTCAAGTCCGAAAGTTCACAATGCAATCTATGTCAGCTTGTATAAGTTTTCCTGTTTACTGTTGCTTCAGTCACTTATAAGTTTGCGCAGTGGGTAGGCTGGCACTCATCAGGAGTCCCATCCCTTGCTTGCTTATTCTAGGAGAATAGACATGCAATTAATTTGAATTTCATTCAAGAATGTTGTGCAATTTTACAGTCAGAGAGAAGCACAAGCCTAATGACTGAGTCAGTCCACTACACGACACACTAAACGACTGACGAGTCAAAATTCTGAACGGACAAAAACGGACAAATTCTGCTGAACCAACCTACCAACTAATAAACGAACAAATAAATAAATGAATAAAGCCGTATCCGATTATATGGTCCTCCTGCGCTCAGTGTGGTCAGTGCCATTGGTTATAATGGGCTCTATTTGCGATGCAACATGCACTGCTTTTCAAGCAAGGTTCATGTTTATAGCCAAAACCTTGGTGTGTAGAGTCATTTAAGATCATGTAATATTCTAGTTTAAGCTATGTTTCTGGCAAACAGAGCACATCCATATTATTATGTGTGATAATTATTTACGATAAAGGCTGCTGTATAGCTGCCCAAACTTTAGTAAATGTTCATATTTAATAGTTTTGTCATTTTATAGTTTGAGACTTTCTTTATTTCTTTCTTTCTTGGGCAACACTCATATCATTGTCTAGCACACTGCAAACAGACACAGAAAACTAATCAATGCAACCACATGCAATACTAGAGGAAAGGCAGGTTAGCAATGACACATTTGCAGGTAGTGCAAGTACTTATACGGTATTACTCATCCTGATGATGTGACACAATAATTTGAATGGGAAAGAACAGCCTATCTCGACACCCTAGTCAATGGCAGGTGGTATTAGGGAGAGGAACATTCTCATACTGTCCTAACCAGATTTGATGATGATACACAATGAGTGACAGATTATTCTATTTTTTTAACCACTTACTGTGCTCCCCTATTTTTGAGCATTTTCTGAAAAACGACATACCCAAATAAAAATGTCTGTAGCTCTTGAACCCTATGGTCTATATTTATAAATCTGGTATTGTTTGAAACTAGACACTTGAACCTTTGTTACTCTGGAGTCATAATAACTCAAAATTAGTATAGCAACAGAGTAAAACAAGGTAAAATGTACATGAAAGTGACTTACGATATCTTTGAATGAAATTCACTAAGGGAAAAATGGATGAGGCTTTCTGCCGACCCCACTCTGGCTCCCAGCTTTGCCGGCTCCACCCTGGTTTCCTGCTTCGCCGGTTCTGCCTTGGTGCTCTGCTCTGCTACTCTGCCTACTCTGGAAGTCTCTCCACTTCCATGTGGACCTGGCCCTCCATCCCTTCCCCTGTTCCGCCTCTGCTCCACCACCCTCCTGGATTTTACTGTTTTAGAAGCGTCTGGAAGCCACTGCTTGGGGGGGGGGCTATGTCACGGATCCTGTCCATGGACTTCCGTTCGATCGCCACCAGAGGTCACCCTTCCGTTACATTGATTCTCACACTACACAAACTGTTGCATGTCATCCCGGACTACATTTCCCATGCTCCATTGCACTGATTGGACTCACCTGCAGCCAATCACACACTATATAACAATCACTCAAATCCTTCTCTAATCGCCGAGTATTGTTTGCGTATATCGCTCTCCTAGTGGTAGCACATTACGGAGCCAGTTTCCTGACATAGTTTATAGTCCTTAGTTCCTAGTCTTGTCTTGCCTGCTTTCCCGTGTTACCTGATTATTGCCTGTTTATCTTGGATTAACCCTTTGCCTTTCTGTTTCGGACTAAAATGCATTTAAATGCATTAATAGAGACACCAGTAGCAGTATTGGTAATGTCACGGATCCTGTCCATGGACTTCCGTTCGATCGCCACCAGAGGTCACCCTTCCGTTACATTGATTCTCACACTACACAAACTGTTGCATGTCATCCCGGACTACATTTCCCATGCTCCATTGCACTGATTGGACTCACCTGCAGCCAATCACACACTATATAACAATCACTCAAATCCTTCTCTAATCGCCGAGTATTGTTTGCGTATATCGCTCTCCTAGTGGTAGCACATTACGGAGCCAGTTTCCTGACATAGTTTATAGTCCTTAGTTCCTAGTCTTGTCTTGCCTGCTTTCCCGTGTTACCTGATTATTGCCTGTTTATCTTGGATTAACCCTTTGCCTTTCTGTTTCGGACTCTGTTTGCACCTCACCTGTACTATTGCTCGTGTTATTGGATTTTCCCTCTTGTCAAGCCCTCTGGATAACGCTCACTGTCGACTGACTCACACCTTTTTTTGGATACTCTTTTGTCTTGCCTGTAATGTACCTGCTTACCACTGTCTGACCCATGCCTGTTTTATGACTACGTCTCTGTCTAAATAAAGCCTTGCAAATGGATCCGCACGTCTCACTTCTCGTTCGCCCCATTACAATTGCACACAGGTAATGAAGTAAAAATGTTGAGATAGATTTGACTTTAATGTCAGAATATTATAATTCATTTACACAAACAAAACAAAACCGTTCATTAAAAAAAAAGCACGTTATGCAGGTGGTTCAGGTGTGTTTAATAAGAGTTGGAGCTAACCTCTGCAGGGCTGTGGCCCTCCAGGAACTGAGTTTGACATCACTGGTATAGCATATTCCGTGCATGGTTTATTCAATCAGGAGCATTGCCCTTAACATAATTTCTCAGAGATGGAAATGTCACTATATATAATAGATCGATCCATATAGCAGTAGTTCCAAACACACAACCTTGTGATGCCGTTTGTTAATGTTTGTTTGAACTGGGGTTTTGAGAAACACATAATCTTTGAGCTATGTTGGTAACGATGGAACTGCTGACCATAGTTGAATAACAATGGTTTTGGGAAATGCATCCTGTAGAGTTCAGCTCCAATCCTATAAAACACACTTCACTAACAATGTTGGCTAACCCTGGACACACATCAAAATAATAAAACTAATGTCTGAACTAATACTATGTCCACAGCTTAATTTGCCTGAGAAACACGCTTCATTATCAGATTAAAAAAATAGGCCGATCTCAGATTTTCTTTATGAATTTTTTTCATTTATTTTAATTATTTTAGTGCCAAAGCACCCTAATGACTTAACCAATTTGACATTATTTCAGATGATGATGAAATAAAATTAAATGTCAAAAAAGTATCTGTTGCAGAAAAAAATGTGAAAACAGATGGCTAATCACTTTCCCATGAGAACCAGGAAATGAATAACATTCATTCACATCTTTGTTATGTGTTGTTGTGTATTTGTGTAGCTGGAAGATGCTCAGGGTCCTGTGCTCATGACTACCGTGGCCATGCCTGTGTTCAGCACCAAGAACGAGACTGTAAGTGATCCTAAACTTTGACTTTGATAATGTTAACCAGTGGCTATTTAGTCAGTATGAATGTTTTCTGTATAGCACTCATCAAACTATACCAACAGAGAGAGGAAATATGCCAAAGTAAGAAAGAAATAATGATGTAGAAAGGTTTAATTGGAAACTAATATTAAGTCGTGACATTAAGTAGGGCAGTCGTGGCCTAATGGATAGAGAGCCAGACTTGTAACCCGAAGATCGTGGGTTCAAGTCTCAGGTCCGGCAGGGATTGTCGGTGGGGGGAGTGAATAACCAGTGCTCTCTTCCACCTTCAATACTACGACTGAGGTGAGATCCTTGAGAAAGGCACCAAACACCCAACTGCTCCCCGGGCACACTTAGATGGGTTAAATGCAGAGCACACATTCTGAGTATGGGACACCATACTTGGCCACACGTCACTTTAGACTTGTCAAAACATTTAACCAATAAAGTATGATGAATCATAACAAATATTAAAGGTTTAGTTCACCCAAAAATGAAAATTAGACCATAAATTACTCACCCTCAAGTCATCCTAGGTGTATATGACTTTCTTTTTTCAGACGAATCCAGTCGGGAGTTATATAAAAAATTGGCTTCGATCTTTCAAGCTGTTTATGCCACTCAGCGGGTGTTGCATGCATCAGTCCAAAAGAAGTTAAATAAAAAGCGCCCCTCCATTTAAAAAAATTTCTCACACGGCTCCGGGGGGTGAACAAAGGCCTCCTGTAGCGAATCGATGCGTTTTTGTATGAAAAATATCCATATTCAAAACGTAATAATCACTTTAATGTAGCTTGTGCCAACACGGAAGCAGCTCTGGGCTTATGACGTATGAGTTCAGCGTTGCACATGCACCAGTGAGTCTTGTGAAAACCAACGTTTGTTAACAGGAGCAAAGGAAGCAAAGTTTCCTTATTTTAGCAAAGGAAAACCAGTCTCCTCTTGGCTTATTTCGAAATCCTCCGACATTCTTCTTTACAAATCCTTGTTTTGTACTTCTAATAAGTGACTGTTGTTTTGTTTTGATCTCACCCCTGCGCTTCCACGTTCATCACTTCTGAGCGGCGCATGTGTAATGCTGAACTCATACGTCATCTGCCCGGAGCTGCTTCCGTGTACAACTGTTGGCGCAAGCTACATTAACGTGACTATTACGTTTTGAATATGGATATTTTTCTTACAAAAACGCATCAATTTGCTAGAGAAGGCCTTTGTTCACCCCCCGGAGCCGTGTGAGACACTTTTTTTTATGGATGGGTGATTTTTATTTAACTTCTTTTGGACTGATGCATGCAACACCCGCTGACAGCAATTAAACAGTTTGAAAGATCAAATACAATTTTTAATGGAACTCCGACTGGATTTGTCTGAAAGAATAAAGTCATATACACCTAGGATGACTTGAGGGTGAGTAATTTATGGGCTAATTTTCATTTTTGGATGAACTAACCCTTTAAGATTTTTTTTGCTTTGCTTTTTGCTTTGGTTTTTAACATGCTTGTGTTCATTGTTTTAAGAGAAATAAAGGAATTCTTCTTGGAGTAGTTGGCACAGATGTTCCAGTGTCTGAAATACTGAAGGCCATCCCTAAATACAAGGTACACAGACAAGTCACCTATAACTGTCCATTCATTAGAACTTGGACCTCCTGTTGATTATCTGTCTAGCACCAGAGAGTGAATGGATGGATGAATGAATGGATGGATGGATGAATGAATGAAAATCAACCATTTAGATAACCCTTTTTTTCTCTCTCTAGAAGATAGCATTGTAATTTCATGTTCACTAAAACCGCATAAAATGATGTGACATCTGCAGTTTTCCTTTCTGTATTTGGCATATTTATTATTGAAATCCAAGTAAGTTTGTGTCAAATTTACCATCTTTCTTATTTAAATGGTCATTAGACTTGAGTTATATCATCGATATGGACCATGATTTGTTACTTGCTATTGTGGTCAAGTGGAGAAGAAGAGCCTATACTAGAACAAGATGTAAACTAAAGAAAGATAAACTTGACTTTGCCTATTCCCTGGCAGAGGTTCTCAGACTGGCACTGGAGTGCAAATAAGTCCACCCACCAAAAGGATCACAGGTCCATCCAATAAAGGGCTAGAGATGTGGCTTCAAGTACAACAATATATTTATTTAACATACAAACAATCAATCATGTCACATCAGTAGTGAAGAACAGACCCATACAATGCACACACACTTTATAGAACCAATACAAAATGTTAAGTAGAGCTGAGACATGCTAGTTGGGAGCTGCTAATTACAGTCATTATCTGTCCTGAAACGCACAATCACACACACACACCTGCATACTTGAGTGACTGAGATGGTCGATAATGAGCATAGTAAGTGTGTTAAGTGTTACAGCTCATTGAACTGCTCACACTTAAAATTAAAGTGCTTCTTAAGGAAAAAAAAAGAAAAGAAAAATCTACCATCTCCCATAGGTCTAGTTCTATGGTTGCTGACTGAGGTGCCACAAAAGCTAGAGTCCTGGGTGTTTAGCTCGAGGCTGTCGAGAATGAGCAGAGGATTTCTGTTTCTCTCTCACTCCCTAAACCATGTGCAGTGTATTTCTCAGGTGGAGTTCACACATGAGGAGTTGTGTTCAAGTCCGAAAGTTCACAATGCAATCTATGTCAGCTTGTATAAGTTTTCCTGTTTACTGTTGCTTCAGTCACTTATAAGTTTGCGCAGTGGGTAGGCTGGCACTCATCAGGAGTCCCATCCCTTGCTTGCTTATTCTAGGAGAATAGACATGCAATTAATTTGAATTTCATTCAAGAATGTTGTGCAATTTTACAGTCAGAGAGAAGCACAAGCCTAATGACTGAGTCAGTCCACTACACGACACACTAAACGACTGACGAGTCAAAATTCTGAACGGACAAAAACGGACAAATTCTGCTGAACCAACCTACCAACTAATAAACGAACAAATAAATAAATGAATAAAGCCGTATCCGATTATATGGTCCTCCTGCGCTCAGTGTGGTCAGTGCCATTGGTTATAATGGGCTCTATTTGCGATGCAACATGCACTGCTTTTCAAGCAAGGTTCATGTTTATAGCCAAAACCTTGGTGTGTAGAGTCATTTAAGATCATGTAATATTCTAGTTTAAGCTATGTTTCTGGCAAACAGAGCACATCCATATTATTATGTGTGATAATTATTTACGATAAAGGCTGCTGTATAGCTGCCCAAACTTTAGTAAATGTTCATATTTAATAGTTTTGTCATTTTATAGTTTGAGACTTTCTTTATTTCTTTCTTTCTTGGGCAACACTCATATCATTGTCTAGCACACTGCAAACAGACACAGAAAACTAATCAATGCAACCACATGCAATACTAGAGGAAAGGCAGGTTAGCAATGACACATTTGCAGGTAGTGCAAGTACTTATACGGTATTACTCATCCTGATGATGTGACACAATAATTTGAATGGGAAAGAACAGCCTATCTCGACACCCTAGTCAATGGCAGGTGGTATTAGGGAGAGGAACATTCTCATACTGTCCTAACCAGATTTGATGATGATACACAATGAGTGACAGATTATTCTATTTTTTTAACCACTTACTGTGCTCCCCTATTTTTGAGCATTTTCTGAAAAACGACATACCCAAATAAAAATGTCTGTAGCTCTTGAACCCTATGGTCTATATTTATAAATCTGGTATTGTTTGAAACTAGACACTTGAACCTTTGTTACTCTGGAGTCATAATAACTCAAAATTAGTATAGCAACAGAGTAAAACCGCGCGCGGAGCTTCACCAGAGCGCCGGCGCGTTTTCCTCTTCTGCATCTGCACGCGCGTTTGAACAACACCGCTGTACCTCCGACTAGAATGTCCAACAAAACGTCCGAATAATCAAAAACCGGAAAAATGTTGTCCGGGATGTGCTGCTTAATGTTAAGCAGTTCGTCTCTGGTAAAACTTATAGAAGAAGAATGACAAAACACAGAACAAACAAACAAAAACAATAGAAGAATTGCGGAGCTCAGCGTCCTTGCTGCCATTTGCGGCGCCATGCTGATATGTGTGACGCTGTATATGTATATACATTGATATACATACAGCTGATATGTATATCAATTCAGAACTCATCTACACATGAAACCACACACACAAACACAAAACTATCTCAGAACAACATTTGAACATTGTAACTAAACAGTATTTATTTTGAACAATTCTAATAATGAAAACAGTGAACCAAAACAGATTTGATCAGTGATCATTTTAGAGCTAATAAACACACAAAATATTTTTTTTTTACATTTGAAACTGTAATTTTTTTTCTCTGCTAACTATTATGAATATCCAGTTACTGTAAAACTAAAGCAACTATTTACAGTATTTACAGTGTAGGACACTCAAGGCAGTCACTAAAAAGGTTTGTTCTGACCAACTGGATACCAAAGTCACTGAAACACAGGAAAGAGAGAGAGCGTGTAAACAACAAATCAAACTTGCAACACTGTGTTTACATGTTGTATACACACACACACACACACACACACACACACACACAAACACACAAACATACATACATAATACTCGTACACACACACTCAATACATACACACAAACACACACACAAACACACTCAATACTCATACACACACACGCGCACACACACTCAATACTCATACACACACAC